TATATATCAAATGATCACAATGTATGCTTTAAATACCTTACATTTTATTTTGTCAATTATACCTCAATAAAGCTGAAAAGAAAGAAAGAAAAGAAAAAAGATACAGCTCCCAGCTTTAAGAAGTCACCAACACAGGGGCGCCTGGGTGGCTCAGTCAGTTAAGTGTCCTATTCTTAGTTTTGGCTCAGGTCATGATCTCAGGGTCGTGAGATCAAGCCCCACGTCAGGCTCCGTGCTGAGTGCGGAGTCCGCTTCAGATTCTTTCTCCCTGTGCTCCTGATGTGCACGGTCTCAACCTCTCTCTCTCTCTCTCTAAAATAAATAAATAAATAAAATCTTAAAAACAAAAACAAAAAAAAAAGTCACCAGCACAAAATAAAAGAAACAATTCAGTGACATTTAGTACATTCATGATGTTTAATCACCAACACTATCTAGTTTCAGAACATTCCTGTCACTCCAAAGTAAAACTCCACATCCATTAGCAGTCACTGCCCTTTCTCCCCTCCCCCCAGCCCCTGGCAACCACCATTCTACTTTCTGTCTTTTTTTTTTTCATGGAAGTATAGTTGGCACACAATGCTACATTAGCTTCAGGTGTACAACACAGTGATTCAACAACTCCGTACTTAGGCTCTGTTCACAAGTGTAGCCCCCATCTGTCACCACGCAACATTATTATAGTATTAGTGATTGTACTCCCTCTGCTATCCGTTTCATCCCTGTGACTACTCTTCCATAACTAGAAGCCTGTGCCTTCCACTCCTCTTTACCCATTTTGCCCATCTCCAACCCGCCCCCACTAGCAGCCACCAGTTTGTTCTCTGTATTTAGGGGTCTCTTTCTGGGTTTTGTTGTTGTTTATTTGTTTATTCATTTGTTTTGTTTTTTAGATTCCACATAGAAGTGAAATTACATGATGCTCATCTTTCTCTGTCTGACTTATTTCACTTAGGACTACACTCTCTACGTCCATCCATGTTGTTGCAAATGGCAAGATTTCAGTCTTTTTTATGGCCGAGTACTATTCCATTATGTATATACAGCACATCTTTATCCATTCATCTCTGGATGGACACTTGGGTTGCTTCCATATCTTGGCTCTTATAAGTAATGCTGCAATAAATACAGGATTGCATATATCTTTTCAAATTAGTGTTTTTGTTTTCTTTGGGTAAATACCTAGTAGTGGGATTACTGGATCATACTGTATTTCTGTTTTTAATTTTTGAGGCATCTCCACACTGTTTTCCACAGTGGCTGCACCAGTTTACATTCCCAACATCAGGAGAGTCCCTTTTTCTCCATATCGTCACCAACACATGTTATCTCTCGTTGCTGTTGTTGCTGTTGTTGTTTAATTCTAGCTATTCCAGTGGGTGTAAGGTGATATCTCATTGTGGTTTTAATTTTCATTTCCCTGTTGATGAGTGACATTGAGCATCTTTTCATGTGTCTATTGGCCATCTGTATGTCTTCTTTGGAAAAATGTCTATTTATGTCTTCTGCCTGTTTTAATTGTATTATTTGGTTTTGGGGTGTGAGGTTGCATGAGTTCTTCGTATATTTTGGATACTAACCCCTCATTGGGTGTACCATTTGGGAATATCTTCTCACATTCAGGACATTGCTTCTACTTTCTGTAGATTTATCTATTCTGGATATTTCACGTAAGTGGAATCACAATAGGGGGCCTTTTGTGCGTGGCTTCTTTCACTTAGCATAATGTTTTCAATGTCCATCTACATCACAGCATTTATCAATACTTCCTTCCTTTACGGCTGACTCACATGTCACTGTACCGATTTGCTACATTTTGTTTATTCTTCCATCCTTTGAGGGATATTCTGTCTTTCCCACCTTTGGCTGCTGTGAATAGCTGAGCATCTTTGTGGCTGGGAACTGGAGAGGGCTGGAGAAGAGGCCGTGATTTAGAAGGCCTGGAAAGGAGAATTTGAGAACCAGAACTGAGCTGTGGCTGCCCTTACCAATCCTGATGATCTTACCTCCAAACCATGTCTGAGTCTGTCACTTCTCCATCCTTGCCACCACTTCCTCATCCCAGGCCACCATCAGCTCTCAGCTCTCACCAGGACAGCTGCAGTGGCCTTCTCCTCTGGTCTCCCGTCTGCCCCTCCAACCCCTGCACCCAGTGAATCCATCTTCCACTGAGGGAATCCTAGTGAAACTTAAGGCAAACCAAGTCATGGCACTCTCTTGCTCAAAGCCTTTCTGTGGCTCCCCACTGCCTCAGAAGCAAATCTG